GTCATTTGCTTCAGAAAAGAAATGATACTGTATAAAGTTAATGTTCTTTTTACCTTAAAAGAATGTTGACTGATAACCTGTTATTTACATTATAGTGATATGATTAAATTACCATGTTATATTTTAAAATAAATACAAGCAATGCCTTTAAGTGTTCCACTTCCTAATTTTTCTTAAGCCCGAACTCTCTATCTAGGGCACATATGCGGGGAGGTTGTCCCATACTACAAGAAACCTTTAGTCTCCATATCAAACTACACACAGAGTGCCTGCTAAGAATAGCACAAATTCTACAGGAGGTTGAAACAACAACTACCCGCTATCCTGCTTTACAGGTGTTCTCATTATATTTGGAAACCTTAAAAACAAAGATCCTCCCTGCTTAAAGTTGTGTTTCTGATAGCTTCAAGGACTATTTTGCATAGATTATCAATTGAAAAATCAAGAAAAAACAAACTAGCTAGCACACGGGAACAGAAATAAAAAGTATTAGTTGTACCACAAAGCAAAATGGTGAATACCAGACAGAACAGTTAAAGAAGGGCTTGAAACAAAGCATAACTCTCTTACTTTGCAGAGAACACACAGTTCTCAAATAATTGACTGGACAAGGGCTTTCTGACCTATTGGATCAAGTCTGAGGAATACTGACAGTAAAGAAACTTCGCGCAAGTGGCAATCTTCTCAATCTTCTCTCCAGAGTTCTCGCAGTTTCTTCACTGTTCAAGTATAAATATGCAAACCGCAGCCCTGCTCTACATAAGATATCACTAAACTAAAAGCAGTCAGGACATCCTCTTGACAAGGATGAGAACTACAGAACAAGAATCTTCTGAAAGCTTTAATGAGGAAGAAGAGAGTATTAAGAGGATATTTTACTCCAACTCCTATCTGAACTAGCAGGCTAAATATTTGTGTTTTCATTACTTTTGGCTTATTTAGGAAGTAACACATTGCAGTTTTTTTAGTGTTCTCACTTGTCTGTTTTTTTCCGCTCTTCCCCCATGGATGCTTTATAAGAAAATGGTCCATAAGAATAAAAATTGTTGACATGGGAAAAACTTCAAATGGCATTAAAAGAGCTAATCTGAAAAGGAAAATAAAGGGGGTGGGAATAAAATAAAGGAGGTAATTTTTATCAGGCAATCAGCCCAGTCAGACTCCTCAAATTACTGGAACTACAAACTATGCAATAAATTCCATAAACTTAAACTATGAATTTGGTCATAAAGAAATCTAACCCAGAAAGATGTTATATATCTTTAATCTCTTCTGATACTTGATGAAGGAGAGGTATGCAGGAAAGGTTGCAATGTGTAAGGGAAAAAAAATGAAAATTAATCAGGAACAAGTAGGTATGTTGAGTTGCATTGTGGGTTTTCAGGGCACTAAAAACTAATTGAGCTAATCTAAACAACTGAAAATCTTCAAGTCTTTCAAAGTTTTTTTATTATTATTTTTTCAGTTACATTTGCCAAAACCTGGAACCAGACATGAAAGGGTTAAAGAGCCTGATAGCAGGTACAGCTGAGATCCTGCAACCTATCAGCCAAGGCTGATATCTATAAGAGGGCATTTACCTGACAGAATGGGCCATATCAGATTCATCTTGGTCTGCACTTCAATAGTGTGTAACTTTTCCTACAAGATTTTAGATTTAAGTATACTTCTGGATTTTTTTTCCCTTATCATGCAATGGTGAGATTTTTTTTCTATTTTTTTAATTTATTTTCTTTCATCTGCTGGATGTGTAGTTTAATAAGAGGCTTTATTTATTCGTGCTCTGTGAATGATGGAAAGACAGAGGCCTCTGACAATAGCTGGTGTGTTTATTCTGCTGTGAAGGCAACAACTGTTGTGTTGCAAAGAAAGATAAGATACTTATTAGGTTTTGTTAAGATGTTGCACTAGTTTAACTTCTGTGAAGGAGAGGGGGGGAAAAAAATGTTTTTAATAGAGTAAGCTGAGCAGTAAGAACTGTGTTCTTATCTTGTGACTAATCTGTTCTTAACCTTAGGGTAAGAATGGGGTTCTTGGTCAATGGGGAAGTTCCAGTCCTTTCGTTCTAGATATAGCACAAAAATACTTTGAACACTGAAGCCATCTTGCATATAGTATTCATAGACCCTCGTTTTTAAAAGTTTAAATATGGGGGGGGAGGGAATCTTTCTCTACTATGTGTGCTTCTTATGCCTATACCAAGGAAGCTACATCTTATAGCTGTTCACCAGTGCAACTCAAGGATATTTCTCTTGATACTCTTAGCAAGGTTTAAGTTGATGACTAATTTAAAAGACAGGACACTGACTTTCACCTGGAAGACTGATCTCTAGACATGGAGAGATGCATCTGAGCCATAGGCGAACTGGATTTCTCTGTGCGTGTATCGTAGTGGTGTTGTGGGGGTATTGTTTGGTTGTTTTTTTTTTTTTTTTTTTTTTAGAAAACTTGATAAGCGAGTAATAACAGTAATGCGGTTGAATAAGTGGCCTTTCGGAAGGTTCCTAAAACAATTCTCAAGCCAGAGGCAGATCTTGGGTATCTTTTGCCATCGTGCTATGAAAAACTTGCATCAGAGCTTGTATTCTGTTGGTAATTAAGTTAGTAGCTTAAAAAGCTGGCATGCTACTGTGGGTAGCTGCTAAAAACTGCTTTTAGTGTACTTGTAACATTCCTAATCTCTGAGTTGTGGGTGTTTTTGCTTGTAGAAAAACATCATCCAGCAAAGACAAAGCTTACCTAAGTCTCCACAGTAAATACTGATGCTAGTAAAGGCAAAATCCTATTGTGAAAGGACAATATAACAGGTTTGGGGGCTATTAACCTACTTTTATATAAAATTTCAGTGTTGATGCTACAGCTGTCTAAGTTGCTTTTCCACATGCAGCCTTTTTGAAGAGACACATGCATGTAAACCCTAGAGGAATGAAGCCACACAAGTACAGGCTGGTGTCAGGCACTTTCTGTGATGCAAAGGACTGGCCTTTCAGACATACTGTGCCTATAGCTTCCTAATGGCATCAGAATAAGAATGAGGTTACTTCACTAGAGGCGGATGCAGGCCTGATGTGGAAGGGTTTGTAGGTGCAAGGCCTCCCCAGGGCTGCTGCAAGGTGGGAGGCCTGGCTTTGCCTCCTCCCTCCTGCACCTGAGCAGAGTAAAGCAGCTTCTCATTCTGTGAAGAAGCTTCCTTAGACATCGCCCCTGCCTTCAAGCAGGCTGCAGGTGGGGAACAGAAAGGGAAAGTCAAGAACACACTTGTAGCCCTGTCTCTAAGGTTTTACACTAAATCTAGCCTCAAACTTCTGCTCCTTTTTTTAATGCCTTGTGGTTGTCAAGATACACAGCAAAAAGCAAGGACTCTTTCTTATAGAAGCTTCTTCTTATAGAAGTTGCTAACTAAAATTGGGTGGTTCAAACTAAATCATATGCTTTATCCGAGGATTTACTGAATCTCACAGCAGTAATTGCCACAGTACTTATTGTTTCAGAGTGGTTTATCTGAAAATATAAATTACTGCCTCTTGGGATGTTAAAATATAAAAATGGATTTACTCTTCCTAAAGGAGTCTTGCCAGGCGGTTAGAGACAGCGGTTCTCTAGCTCTCGTCAGATAATAGAAATATAATCAATTCAACCAATTTCAGACCCTGAATAAAAAGGAGAGCGGGAATTGCACTGCGTTGCTTGCCTCCTAACTTACTCCAGGCTGAGCTGAAAATGACTCAGAGCCACTATTCCCTACCCACTCCTTCCATCATCACTTTGGGGAGGGAGGCAGGCAGGGTATATGACCCAGATGAAACACTAGTATCTTCGGTCAATGCTTAGCAAATATAGGTTGTTTCCTGGTTTGCGTTGATTGTCACGATAATCTCCAGTGACAGTAGAATGCGAGTCACCCCATATATTGGGAAGTTGTCCTACTGAAATAGTTGAGAAAATTGTGAGGCAAGATGCACACTCAGCATGCAATAGGTGTGCACTATTGCACATGCAAGTAAATATAAAAGACCTGACAGTTTAATTTTGAAGTTACTAATGGTAAAATAACACATGCAGGATTTGTTTTGGTGGCAGGCCTGTATGATGAATTGTATGTGGTTGTTTGATTTTTAAATCTACACAGTATCCACAAAACAAATCCTGTACTGTGATAGGCTGGTTGAGGAAGTAATATCCTACTAGAAATAAAACTGGGTTAAGCTTACTAATCCAATAGTCCTATTTCTGTTTGAGAAACAAAAATTCTTTTGAGAGAGGTGTTTGTTGTTAACATACCCTTGTAGGATCGGACTCCAAAGTGAAGACTTAAGGCTTTGTGAAAAATTTGTTTAGGTGAAGGGAGCTTGATGGCTGCTTTCAATGTACTTAGTTCTGCTTCCTGGCAAATTACGTGTTTGCATAATCTTATATTGGTCTTCTGTAAATCTTAACTAGTAGATATAGTAAATGATTTTACTTAAATTTCAGTTTTACACAATCACAGGACTAAAAAGCAAGTTAAATATAGAATATTATAGCTGTAGGGGTCAATGTTCCAAGCACTAATTTATGTGAGCAGAATAGATTTTTCTATATTTAAAATAGAGCCAAAAGAGAGAGGCTTTGGCTTGCAGTCAAACACTAATGCCACCTCAAAAATGACAGTCAGTTCTAAATAAATAGTGGTTCAAAGTGCTGGATTATATCAGTGTCAAGCTGTGAGTTTACTTTTCTGTCAAGAGCAGTTATTACAAGGACAACTGAATCAATGCCAAACCAATACTAGCCACTAGCCTAAAATGAGTGAAAAGATGTATATGGAACTTGGAAGCATTCACTGCAAAGACTTCATCCCTCATTTCTCCTTAAATATCCAGACCACACAGTAAACCTGAAAGGCTTCAGAATTTCCTGGGGACTAGGTTTCCTGTAGCATCAGGAATCTCTTTCTCCCAGACTGATTTTTTTCTTTCTTCTTCCTGCTGCTGCGGTGACTCAGCAGTGGTGCGTCCACCATGCAACCACTGAGCCCTGTGGCCACAGCTCAAGCGTGCCTGCCTCAGAGCCTGGAGCTGTCAAGCTGCTCCACTAACAACCCTCGCACCAGAGGAGCCATGTGGACTGGGCATTACTGCAGGGGCGCCCTGACAAGGCTGCCGGCTTTGTAAGACAACTCATTAAGAACCAAACCTTCACCTAGGCTGCAGCTATTTCAAGACAGAACAGTTTGGTTGTGCTTGTGCCTCTTCTCACAGAGCACACTACAATAGCATGTGCTGACCCACCCTCCCTCCACAGATTGGCTACCTATCCTGGCATCACTCACAGTAAAACTAGATTGCCTGGAGGTGAGCAGACTGCACTGAATGGCCAAAGGACAACAATCTGGTGAACCAAGAGTATTAAGATGCTTTTTCTTGTCTTAGCTCTTCAAACTTCTTTCTTTAGCTTTTCATTTATTTATTTTTTAAAACAAGAATTTAAATGGCTCCCTCTTGTGGCTTGAGAAATGCAAAACTTGCATTTCAGAACAGAAAGCAGAATTCCTCTATAAGCATTTGTGTGTGTGTATACATACATACATGCATGGTGTACATCTGCCTAGAGCAATTTAGCTATCAGTATATGGCAGTGACTGATAAGCATGCACCTATTCCTCACAAGGTACTCTTGGAAGGACCCACTCAGGAAATTACTGACTGTTGTGTATTCTTGGTGGGGGCAGGAGGGAAAGCATTATGAATAATGTTTCATATTCATCTAATTTTGTATGGCAGACTAAACTATATCTGTGTCCTGCAGATAATTCTGTCCTTAAGCTCTTCTTCGAAGTGTGAGAACAGAATATCCGGATAGCAGAGCTGCCTTGTGGTTTTATACCTTTTTTTTCCCCCTAAGTGAACAAATCCATAACCTCAAACAGGCAAAGAAGAGTAATTGTAACTCTAAAGGAAAGCTGTGAGCATAAATTACTCTGGGAGGAAGTATAAACTGTATTTTGATAATCCTTCATCTCTTTCCTTCCTGGCATCCACTAGCTCCTAAAACTCAGCTCAGACTTTTAAACTAGCTCCGACTAAACTAGCTAGACTAGTTACAATGTACACTGTAACTAAACTAGCTCAGACTTTCAAGTCATAAAGAGTGAGACTCTGTTATAAAGTAGTGGCATGCTCTAGCAACTTCGGGTATTAAGCAACAATCCTGGAAACACACTTGGGTGAGACATATGGAGGTATTGGTGACCTCATTAAGCTAATTAAATCTATACATAGGAAATCTCTAAGAAAGCTTACGAGAAAGCACATTTGAAAGGTTTTGTTCCAGGACTACTGATTGCAGTTCTGTGGTTTCTCACAAAAAAAAGTTGTCAATGAATATTTATTTGTTTTCCTTTAAGGTCTAGGCTTGCTGTAGAGGGCTAATAATGCAGAGGGCTTTATAAGATAAAGCTGCTTTCTCAACTAATCTCTTCTCTGAGAATAAAGTTCTTACTGCTTACATTGATTCAGAAGTCTGATGCTATGGACTTTGGTTCAACAAGCTGAAGGAGGGGGCTTTTAAGAAAATGTTATATAGTACATCTTGATTTTGTCATTGTCCTTCTTTGGAATGAGTCTTCTGTGTCACAATCTTATCGAATTTAACTGTAGGAGTGGCAATATGGCTATCAGCATCAAAAATTACCTTTTTAAAATCTAAGACCATTGAGAATTACACAATCACAGTAAAACTACTGCTAAAAAGCATACCCCAAGAAACCTCAGGGTAGTGTTCTCCATGCTTAATGTTCTTAAGAAGAAAATTTAAGTTCATGTTTCATTAGTGAGCTTTTTAGCATTATTTCTGCCTAAGGCTATTAGATATTTATGAAACATAATGTCCCTTAAATAAGGTTCAGACTTGGGATTTAGTAGTCCTTCCTAATGTGTGCAGGATTTTGGTATGCAAAGTTTGATATGCAAGTTGGCTTAATGTTTCCTCCTCCAGCTGAAGGAATCATTGTTTGTCACAGATTGTCCCACATCTGGCTGTACCTGTCGTACACCTACGCATGATTTCCATGAAGTTCCTGCTACTAGATACTGTTGCAGACAGGAAACAAAATCAGGAACATCACAACTTTCTAACATAGTCTGTAACCCTTAATAAGGAATGTGGCAAAAGCAACTTCCATATTATGTCATAATCTTCAGTCATTAAACACCAAAAAAGGAAGTGGTGAAATCAAGACTAATGCTGCAACTTTAATCTGACCCCTTTGTAAAGGAGGTCAATTACGACAGCCTTTCACATACTATGAAAAATTTTCAGGACTTTAGGGTTATCAAGCTTTTTTTTATTTATTTAAAGAATTGCTTTTAGCTATCTATTGTTGGCATATGTGCATAAAAGTAACCAAGGCATATTCCTGGACTTGACCTCATAAATTCTACCATATAAAATAATTACAGCTTTAATGGACTGCAGTATTTAAAAATACTAAATTTATGCCACATATGTACATGTTCTGCAGACAACTTCTGTGGCTAAATTATTACTTTGTGGTTCTAGAAAAAGAACCACTAATTTGAGTTACTGAGAAGCAGGGGGTGAGGGGGGGAATGAAGGCTTGAACATAACCAGCTTCCTACCACTTCCCTGTGKTTTTTTTTTTTTTTTTAAGGTCTCTCTTCTGTGCAAAGCACTTCAGCAATATACTAAATGAGTGGCAGTTGCATAATATAATTAAGTGAAATGCATTCTTCAGAAATGTACTTATCACAGAATCACAGACTGGTTGAGGTTGGAAGGGACCTCCAGAGATCATCTAGTCCAACTCCCCTACTCCAGCAGGGACACCCAGAGCACGGGGCACAGGGCGGCATCCAGGCGGGTTTTGAAGACCTCCAGAGGAAGAGACTCCACAACCTCCCTGGGCAGCCTGTGCCAGGGCTCTGTCACCCTCACAGGAAAGAAGTTCTTCCTCACATACAGATTCAACACTGTTCCCTTTTTTCCACTAGAAAAAAAAAAGTGTTATTTTTGCACTATTGGCTGCTGTCACATGCTAAAGCAGAAACTTTAGCATTATTCTAGCTATAGAAATTTATTGTTCCCTTTCTCAGATATAAATGCACATCTGAATTATTTACCTCAATCAAATGTAACTTCTTTCTTATGGCTAGATATTGGGAGCAAGAGATTAAGTTGTATTGCAGGAATATGCACCTATAAAGTAGAGAACCAGCACTTCAAAAATACGCAGGCAGTCCTGAGCTACACACCACTGGAGTAGTGGGAAAATGGCCTTCCCACTGGCTGTTCTCCCAGCTGGACAGTCTGGCATCAGGTGGATCTTAAGGTAAACCAGCATCCAATGGTTAACGCACTCGTTGCCCTCCCTTCTCACACAGCCCTCACCTCACCATTCAGAAAAGCTTTGACGCTTGCTTCAGCCTGACATTAGGACAACCTAAAAAGGTACCGTTATCTGTCTGTCCTCCTCCCTCGCCTAAGGGCTCCTGCTCCGCCAGGCCGCGCCGGAGCACACTGCCTCGGCGTCTGACGCGCGGAGGCCTCAAGCGCGTTTTGCGCTTCTAAAACGCCTCGTCTCTCGCCTCACCGCAAGGGAAGTTTAACCAGGAGGACGGTTTAACGGCCGCGCGCGGCGGGCGGGGCGAGGCGCGCGGCGGGCGGGGCGAGGCGCGCGGCGGGCGGGGCGAGGCGCGCGCGCACAACGGCCGCCCTGCCCTCGCTGCGCGCTGACGTAGCGGGCGCGACGCCGGGAGCGCGCGCGCGGGAGGGCGGGCTGCGGCCCGCGGCAACATGACAGGTGGCGGGAAGCGGCGGCCCCGCGGCGGGGACGCGGGCGCGGAGCAGGTGGCCGTTGGCGCGCGCGCGGCGGGGGGGAGGTGCGGCGGAGGGGCCGCGCCCAACGGCCGCCAGCAGCCGTTGGCGGCCCCGGAGCGGCGGGGCGGCCCGGGGCTGAGGGGCCGTGGATCCCCGCTCCCTGTTTGCGGTGCCGTTTGSACCCTGCCGTTGGCCTGCCCTGGCAAGAGGCGGGCCGCTTGTTCTGCTAAAAGTGTGTGTGTCCCGGAAGAATGTTTGTGCTTTTCGTTATTTATTTATTTTTTTTAATTGAGCCTATTTTTGTGATGCTTAAGCATGAAATGCATGGCTGGGTGGATGACTTCCCACTCTGCTTCAGATAACACCTCAGTTTAAGCTCCTTACAAAGTGTTTTGCTGCTTAAAAAAAAAGTCCACAGGGAAACAGTTGCTCCAGAGAGAAGTTGGGAGGGTTCATTTAATCAGACATGACAAAATATTGCCTCTACTCATTGATGAGCCTTTGAAGAGGCTGCAAAAACRTGAGCATGCCAGCTGCTGTGTGATTGGAAATGGTCACCCTAAAGYAACCCAGAGCTTAGGTTAAGCTTTGGGCTTGCTTAGTCCTTTGCTTGATCAGCGGGCAAGCGTTTCCACGAGTGTTTCTGGGGTCGTGAACAGAGCGGTGCCGTGCTGCTTCCCGCACCGTAGAAACTTGCCCAGATAATGCCCCGGTAAARGGCTTTGCCCATACTGTAGGCAAAGATGCTGTGATCTGCATAGATGCCACTTTAAAGAAGGCGTTGTTGTTAAACAAATGTTAACTGTTCTCATCTGCAGTGTGAAAAAAATGGCGATGTCAAAAAGAGAAGGTCAAACCAGGCAGATATCCCTGATCACCTTCGCCAGGAAGCAGAAGCCTGTTACCAGCTGAGGCTGCCTGAAGACTTCTACCAGTTTTGGAAGTTCTGTGAGGAGCTGGATTCCGAGAATCCAAGTGGTGGGTTTTGGGGTTTTGTGTGTGCCTTGGTGGGGGCAAGGGCACAGGGGGAAGAGGGCTTTAACCATCGCTCTCAAGAACAGCGTAAAGTTAGGCAAACAGGAAGTTAAAATTCATTCTAATRCTGCTTCAGTTTTCAGCTGAGATGCAGGATAACTTCCATGAACATAAACAAGAATTGCAGAGAGAGATTCCTGCAGGTGTTAATCAAGTTTTCTGAAATAGCCTTTTTTTTTTTAAATCATGTAATGTAGAGGGATTAAATATTCTTGAATATACTTGCAAGAAGCACGTTTTTAAAAATAGTCAGAATAGAACTCAAGTTCAGCTATATCAACCCAAGCTTCAACTTTTCAGAAAACTTACTTGGTCAATGTGTTGTATAAGATATCCCTGAAGCACGAAGTTATTGTTTCAAAGGAGAGTAGTATGTATAAAAAAACAGTTTATTTTCATATGAAAAGTTTAACAACTCTTGCATGAAACTTACCTGAATAAAAGACTTTACTTTTCTGGCAAACAACATGTTTGACTTCTTAGATCTATGGAGGCTTCTGATGCCCAGCTGGTTCATGTATAGAAGTTAGGGTCTTCTGCAGTAAGAACTTAATGGTTTAGATATGCACTTGCCAAAAGTGAAATACTTCATGCTTTGCTTCACAGATGCACTTGTGTCAAGTGTTGGACTTAAACTGGTTGGACCATATGATATTCTTGCTGGAAAACACAAAAAAGTCAAACCAACAGATGTGGATTTCAATCTTCACTGGAGATTTTTCTATGATCCCCCAGAATTCCAGACTATAATTGTTGAGGATGGCAAAACCCAATATCACATGGGATATTTCAGGTATTTTAATTAAAACAGGCTCTTGCCCTAATGTAATTGTATGCATTTTTCCTCCTCTGTATTTCTGGTAAGTCAGGATTTGAGCTGTGCACTGTCATCTAGTGAGAATTTTTCCCTTCTGTAATGAGATATATTAATATATGTCAGTTGATGTCTTTACCACAGTCACAGCATTCAGTATACTGTAATTGAATGGATTTTTAGATACTTGTTAGCCTCCTCCTGCTTTAAGCATCTTAACTTACTCATCTTTAACTTTGAGAGGGGAGAAATGAGCCCAGCCTAACTATCTGTACATTACCTTTCCACAAACAGGGATGTGCCAGATGAACTTCCAGTATGGATTGGTGCAAATGAAGCTAGGAAGAACTGTGTGATTTCACAAGTTGGTGATAATGCATTTGCTGCAGTCAAGTAAGGTTCATGTTTACTTAGTTGTAAAAAGTAGCATAGAAGAGAGATGTATAGATTGGTAGATGTGATGTGAGATAATGCAACCATTGTAGGAATATTGTAGTCTTTCCTTTGTTGAGAAAGGCTTAGCTTGTTTTCTAATACTGCAAGCAAGCTTTAAAGTACTCCTTTATGTTCAAGAAGCCCAAAAAAGCTTTTACATAGTGAAATAAACAAGTGTTAATTATGTACATAATTCTGTACAAGAGTCTCTTGGTATAAAATTCCGACCTGGTGTTTTGAAATAGTTCCTTTAATTTCATAGCATGAAACATAAAGGTGTCAACAGAAACACATGGAAAAGATAAACATGGTACTTCTTATTGGTGTGACTAGGGAAAAGGCATCTCAAACAGTGGGGAAATGGTGCAATCAAACATCTTGTTAAATGAGTAGCATCTAGCTCTTGTTCTTGCCTATGTATAAATGCAGTTAGCTAATATGTGTAAAAAATAATGAAGTACCATTGTTGACCTGGAAAGATGATGCTTACACAGATATGTAAGTCAGAATGATCCATGAAGCCCTGTGTRCACCTGTGTAATAAATATACACAGCAGAATTGAGATTCTCTCACTTCATGATCTGTCAGTTAAAAACTGAAATCCTTCTAAGGATGCATGTGTGTTAGTAAGTGGAGAGCAGGCTGRGCATTCCTGCAAAGCCCCTTGTCTAGAGCAGAATAGCCAACAGTGTGGCTTTGGAAAGCACTGTGATGAACCAGCTGCCGGTGCATAATGTGTGGAGTAGCTGACAAACGGTGAATAAGGCTCTGAAGCAGCAAACTTCAGTTCTTAAGACAGAAGCATGTTCAGCCTTGAGTTCATGAGAAACTTCAGCACCTGCAGGTTGCATAAGCTATGTGGTAATGCAAACACAGATAGGAAATGCTCATATACTGTCCTTGTCAACTTGTGGTTGTCCAGGATCAAGCTGGTGTCTGTCCTTGACAGCTTGGTGCTGGGAGGGTGGGGAGGGACTTGAACAGTTAAGCAGTCTGTGTGTATAAATAAAGCTGTGTTGGAACCTTCGTGGGAACATTTGCGAGTTTAGTGATTAGAAGGCTTTATGATTTGTTTTGTTTTATAGTAAGCTCTTTTAAGAGATGTTTCTGCTGTGTACAGGTTATTTTTGTCCAAAAAACTTATGGAAGTGACCGATAAAAAGAAAAATGCTATTTTGAAAGATATAGATGAAAAGCTAACAAGAAGAGCAAAAGAACTGGGTTATTCTCTTGAACAGAAAACCGTGAAGATGAAACAGAGAGATAAGAAGGTATGACTCTTGATCCACTTAGAAGTCCTATCTTTTTCATTGACTTACTTTGTTGTTGTTTTTCCCTTCCATTTTGCAAAGAGGTCTGCATTTAAGAATGTCCAGGAGCTACTCATCTGCTAGATAGAACTTCAAGAAAGAAAATATATAAATATGTTTATTCCAGATAAAGGGACTAAATCAAAACTTTTACTCTTGCAAACCATAGCTTGGCAAGTAAGGCATTAAACTAAAAAAGCAGGGCAAATAGTCTAAAATATGAGTTGTTGTGTGTCATATATTACTATACTACAGTGCTGTTTTCTTGGTTTAGGTAGTGACCAAGACATTTCATGGAGCAGGCCTAGTTGTTCCTGTAGACAAAAATGATGTTGGATACAGAGAACTTCCTGAAACAAATGGTAAAGATCTTATGTTCTACATTCTACATGCAGTCACGTGTGTACTCTAGTACGGGGGGGAACCCTGCACTAATTTTTTTTTCCACTAGAAAAATATCAACAGTGCAAGTGAAGAGCAAGAATCTCAATCATCACATTTGAGCTGTAGGTATTTTATTTAAATAAGCTGGTTGAGAATGAGCAGAGAACACTAAATCTGAAATACTACTACTTAAAGTATTATTAACCTTAACCTGAAGTGGTTAAGACTACCCTTTATTCTGTTTTGGCAGAAGAGGGAGTATTTCTGCAGCAATGTGATAGATCCAAAGAACTGAACCACCTTCAGGGATTTGTGGGTATATTTATTATTTTCTCTCTTCCTAGTTTTGTTCTAACCTCAGTTAGCTCATTGTTGCAGTTTTCCCCACAAATGCTTGTTCCCATTCAGGGAACTGAGATAGGTAGTTGGGCTAGGAATGAGCAGCAAAGGGAGATGGCATTTCATCAATTACACGGGCTGTGTCTTCTTGATCTTCACGTAAGTGTGTCACATGCAGTATATCTTTGTTTTAAAGTACAATTTTAATGCAATATTAAATTTCTGTTACCTCAAATATTTCTGCTTTTGTTGTTGCAGCCAATCTTAAAAAAATTTGTAAGGCCATTGTTGATGCTCCTACTGATGATCAAAGGCTGAAAGCTTTTGCACCCATTCAAGAAATGCTCACTTTTGTCCAGTTTGCTAATGATGAGTGTGATTATGGAATGGGATTTGAGCTGGGCATTGACCTGTTTTGCTATGGATCACATGTGAGTACTACAACACTCATACTTCATGAAACGTGTTATTTTTTTGCTTAGATTAGGAACTGTTCTGTATATTGAAACTATTCCCAGCTCATGCAACTGTCATCACTAAGAATTCTCCTGTGATGCAAGACAGCAGGAGTATTTGTGAAAAATGTTAATGACAGTTGTGTTCATGACACCATTCCATGTTTAAATTTGGTGCAGTCCTGAAGCATTTAAGTAGCTTTTGATTTGGTGCACAGAAGACGGTGAGTTGTTAGTAACCTGCTAAAGGTGCAGAGTGTTTAGTCTAGATACAAGCAGTAGCTGTAGCCTCCTTTCCCTTATCCTATTACTTGTAATGGCAAGAGCACTCATGTATGTAACTACATCAAGCTGACCTATCCCCGAATCAATCTTCAAGGGACCAGCAAAAATACTGGGACTACAGTTTTTCCAGCTCTAGATCCTTTCAGCTGCTTTCCAGTTCTGACTAGATCCTAGCTATCCCACTGCTTACAGAGACAGAATGAATGTTGTCCTTCTAGCTATAGCCTAAGAAAAAGGCCTTAACTTCTTAATCCTCCTCATAAGACAAAGGAAGTGGGCAAACATGCACAATACACAGAACATGCTAAAAATGTTCTGACTTAAGTATATTTAATGATTTTTGTATACTTTAAATGGAAGTACCACTGTGGAATATGATGGAACTCCAGAATTCAGGCAACTGCTTGGCTTAGCCATGGCATCTTTYGTATAGCTGAAGTAGAAATAGTTTCCATCTCTTTCTACCCCAGTCCAGAAATATACCATACTACTAAACATGCTTGTCAGGGTTGATACCCTTCTTAGAAGCAGGGGGAAAAACACAGAGCTTCTAACTTGAAACAGGAGAAGGGGCTGTGTGTGTCTCCTTTCAGCATCCTGTGTGGACAGGCCAGGCCAGGCTCTTGCACAGCAGAGCACAGAACTAGTGAACTGGTCCAAACAGAACTAGTGAACTGGTCCAAGCTGTTTAGCCTGGCTGCTCTGGTAAACGCCACAAGCTACACCTAGCAGTACAGGCCCTGGTGTGCAGGCAGCTATTACCTCCCTGCAAACTGAGCAGCAGCTTACAAAAGGCAGTCTTGTCTTACCGGGCCCCCACAMGTGTAGTACAAGCCTCTACAGTGCTTTTGAAGTGGGGTAAAGGAATTTAAATCCAGTAAAGCTTAAGGATTATGCCACTTTCCAACCCCGTAAAAGAGGCCACTGAATAAGACAACATTTTTCTTCTTTGCTTATTTTCAGTATTTTCACAAGACTGTAGGTCAGCTCCTGCCTCTTGCTTACAACCTGCTGAAGAGGAACCTCTTTGCTGAGATTATCCAGTCRCACCTGGCGAACCGGAGAGAAGAAAATGTGGACCAGCTCACACTGTGAGCCAGAGAACAAGTCTATGGGGTAGCCCAAACACATTAATGTGGGTGTTCTGAATTGTTCAAGTGGGGTTTTCTTTGTATTGTTTTTGTGTTTTTATATGGAAATGCATCCTGTGTGGTGAGTAAAGCTTTTCTAAATAACGAGACTCCTCCATGCTTGCTTTGACTCCTGTCTACAGCTGCAGCAGGGCAGCAGTGGCCTGCAGGTGAGAGGCAGCCAGCACACGTGTGTGGCTGGTGCAGAGGCTTTGCCTCCTTCCATTAGTTCAGGGACAGTTTGTCTCTCCTTAACCACCCTGCGCGGCCCCTGAAATAATTAAAACCTCAGTAAGACTAACAGCAAGAAAAGCACAAAGCTTACCACCGTAGTTTGCAGTGTAGCTTTGGCATCACTGAAGAAAAGCAGTTTTAACACCTACACTAAGCAACCACTTTCTATACATCTATATACTACTCTATATATACTATATACACCTATATAATATACCTAACCTGTGACCTGAAGCTTTAACTGCCCCATTGCTCTTTTGCCTCTTTATTTCAGTACTGACTTGTTAAACTACTGTTTGAAGTAATAGCCTAAGCAGCAATGGAAAACAACACCTTTTTCATATTGAACAAGCCACGGTGATGACTTGACACGTCAGGCCTAACGATTATGAGCTTTGTTAGAAGCATCATAGGACCCTGGAACCATCATCTCTCTTTAACRGGGGCCTGACTCTTACCACAGGCTCATACTTCCACCTCTCCCTTCCACAAGGTATTCCACATCTCAGTATCAACTTCAGCTTTACGCTACACGAGTTGCATCGATTGGAACATCTTTTCCCCTACAGTTATAAGTATTCCCTTTATTCAAGTATAAACAAAGCCTCCACAGCTTCATTCTCAGCCCAGAATTCTGCACTCTTGCACATACAGGACAGAAACATCTCTGAGAATTCAGAGGATCTCTTTCTTCTCCCTTTTATTTTTAAGCTTCCAACCAGACTTTCACATGACTTCTGAATCAGAGAGTATTAACAGAAATGTATTCACTTTCTATAGTATCAAGTATGAACTCAAATCTGCAAAAACCAAGAGCTGAGTCTGTGCTTTCTAACCTTCTTGAGGAACCTCTAAGTGAACCASTACCTGAAAAGAATGCTGATGCAAATGCATCATTAGCATACATGATCAACAGCTGTCTAACTTACTCCCACAATGATTTTTTTTCCAAGTGGCAAACATGCTAAAAGTACATGTGCTGTCTAAAATGGGGAATTTACTGAAATGCCTCATTTTTAATGTAACTGCAAAGCTTTACAATACTCTACAATAAAAGTTCACTAATTTTTAAGATGGTCAGAAAAAAAAAAGTACTGATCTGTTGACTAAATAGATCCTGCATTTCCCCTAAACGGCAATCTTTTCTTAAAAAAAAAAAAAGTCTCTCTATATAAAATTCCTAGGTGTTTCTCTTTCAGAGAAATAAATACAGAAGCCAACACAACTCTTTTTTGAGGAAACATGGGATTAAAATCAGAACAATAAATGATCATACAGAAACTTTTAATGTTTATGATTAAACCATTACAGTAATGAGAATTTTTACTGTAATGATAGGCAGCTCTACCACACTATCATAAATAAAAACATTAAGATCAATATTAAATACAGCTCTAGGCAACATCACAGAGTAACAAATTATGCATTCTTCATGAACCAGTAACTGAACAGTTTTAAAAAATGCTGACACTTTCCCCCTCCCATCCACATTTTTTTCAAATTAGTAACTTGAGTAAGGCGCTGGAAGGTTTAACATTAGAAAAGAAAAGGTTTGTTGAACAGCACAGGCACTGGCACWCGAGTGAGAGAATTGCTAATGTATGATCACCAGAAGATGTTTTAAATGTCAACAGGGAAAGCTTAGCAGCTCCAAAGAGTAAACAGAGATGCACAATATCAATGCAGCACTTGGGTTCTATACTGAAGTTATAAAACACAGCACGAGTGTGAATTGTACTTCAATTCAGACACACAGTCTATTGAATTTGGTGCAAATTCATACAATACACACACCACAGTGTTTTTGCAGGAGAACAGCAGAAATGGTAGAGGTTTCAGAYGGATTTAAAGCAATTTGTATAAGTGCAGCAAACTGACACTCCTCCACTGCAGAAACAAGCTTCAGCCAGCGACATTCAGCAGCACAGCTTCCAGAGCTGCCTTCTCCTAGTGGGCCAAATGCTGTTCTTTGCAAAACTACCTCAAACTTACATGGTATAACAGAACAACTTTTGAAGCACTAGCCTTGACTTCACGTGGAAGAATAAAGCTATTTTAGGGRAAAAAAAATCTGCAAAATTGCAGTTTCAACATTCCTCACTTCTCTACTTCATTGCAAACCAGTTTTAAAAAAGGGGTTGACCACAACAGGCCCAACAAGCCACTGGGCACTCCAGGAAAATATTATGCTTCCTGGTGTTGCAAGTCGGTGCAAGAGATGAAAAAAGTAGGTAACATTTTTATACTTCAAGGATGAGTATAAATAGCAGAGCTCACGTATTATTCTAGCATGTGCCAGCAATCCCAGTCATTTGTGCACATTAGTCATACTTGGAGAGGAATACATGCTGAGCACTCTGCCCAAGAGCGACCTGAGAGACTACTGTGATGAATACCTCAGAGACACCTGTACTTGTACACTGACCACTTATATTTTTGCAGTCCTATGGGCAAAATTATCAATAGAAGAAAATTTTATCTCATCTCAAATGATCAAACGTGATTTTCGCAGCTGTATTTCTTATTTTCCTTCTCCCTGTTTAGTTTTATGGTATGGCATACAATCTTTTTCTTTGCATGTCTGGTAGTAGTGGGTGTGTGTGACTGAAACAAATTAATGTGGTCCTTGAAAGACAAGAGTAGGGATGTTAGGTAGCTGTCAGTTACCCTGCTGAAGCATGGATTGTTGCTGGATTTTAAAGTCTAGTCATGGTTTCAAGTACTGGATTCCTTTCTGCCTTCCTGGCCATCTTTCGTGGCTACATAACTTAAACAGACCTATGTACCTGGGGGAAAAGTGACAACCAATCTAGTAATTCCAGTTACATTTTTTTTCCTATTATGTTTTTAAGACCTTGCAGCTTTTATTTTAAAATAACATTTTCARTACTACTGTTCCAGTTATCTGCTAATAAAGGAAAAAAAAAAAAGCAAATTTCAAGGTAACGGCAGTGAAAGTTAGGTTTGAAGATGATCTTATACGCATGTTGGATCATAAAGAAACCATTTCTTTAAACCCTTCATTTAGTTGTAAACATTTGCCAAATCCTCCATTACTTGCAGAGGATTATAAATTATTCTATAAAATCACATTAAAAAGGTAATTAGTTATGTGAGATATTAACTGATTTGTATTTAATAGATTTTTTTAATCCATAAAAATATAAATAAAGAATGGTAAAACTTCAAGAAAAATAATATACATTTAGTGCAAGTTACAAGTTACGTTTCTTCCTACTGTGTCAGCAGTGGAACATCTTTCGTGGAGGAAAAAATAAAAATGAAAATAATTGATCTCCTATTTTATTGGGGGGGGAGAGGGGGGGGAAGGGGGAAGGTAAGGGGGATATCTCCAGTGTTGTAGCATGCAATTTTTACCAGATACACATATAGAGAATTGTTCCAGTTCTTAACTATTAGTGTAGCAGTATTTTCCCTTATACTGCACGACATTGGTATATATAATAGTGTTTTCAATTAATACAAAAATTGCATAAGACCAGGTCACATTATTGATATCTTCTGCAGCAAAAACAGTGCTTTTCTCCGAAACTCTAATTTCCCCTGTTTTTCTCGTATCACAGCACAGGGGGGGCTCAAAGCTGCCTCGCACGGTTCTTGCCAAATAGTACCCGTTCGAGCTGTTTTTGTCGCAGTGGATCTGTACTGCCTCAAGCATTTCATGATGTACAGACTACATGTTTAATGGCACAAGGAAAAATCTCCCTTCTTGTGATCAAATCTCAGTAACTCACAGTACGTCTCAATATGAGAAACTACTGCTTCAAAAGGGCACACCAATTTTAAAGATGCTTTGTTACGGCTCAGGAGAGAGAGAAATAAAGCTCTTCTGGAATGTAGAAAGGTGATGTGTAATAACTATACGTTTCATGAGTTAACACAACAGTTTTCTATGGTAAAAAGGGCAAGACCTTTCAGTCTCCATAGGATGGCTCAATTCGGAATGATCCCTCCAGAAACAGGGACTGGTAACACATCTCTTCAAGGCTGAAGTACCAGGCTGGGGCTGGAGAATTGCGCCTCCTCACTGGGCTCCTCGCTGCACTATCATGGCAGACCTCACGTCTCGGGATCGCATCCAGTGCAGGAGAGCAGCTCTCCCTTCCTTCCCACGCTTCCTCCTCGCCACACGCTCCCCCAGACCGACTCGTGACTTCCAGCAGCACCGTGACGCAAAAACCCAGCTCGCGTTTCTGATTTTTGAAGTATACCCCAGACTAAAGTGTTGTGCTATTCAACAAATGAACCTCCTCTTCCGTCTCCTCTCTCTCCTCAGCGATGGGCTTCAGTTGAACATTATTGAGGCGGGGTCTTGGTTTGCCGTCTGGGCCATATGCCGGAGGATATCTTTTTTTGTTATAATGCCAAGGAGGCGCCTGAAAAGGATAAGCAGAACACAGGTATTAATCCATACAGGAAAATAACAGAAGAGAACAAATCTGTAGCCAAGTCCTTTTTGTTGACAGGAGTACAGCAAAAGTAAACAGCCTGATTTGCTTATTTAAACAAAAACACTTTATTAATCAAAATATCGAGTAACCACCAGTTTGCTGAAAGACAGCAATGCTGAGACATCAGATAGAATCGTCTCGGACAGCTGTAATCCATTTTTAATGAAATACAAGTAACATGAGTAAAATCCAGGACCGTTTTTATTTATTTTATTTCTACAAAAATGAAATTTTGATCAGTGTATGCCAACAAAAAAGTAACAAAGAGGGACAAAGAAAAAAAGAGGTACGAAAAARCAGTGATAGTGATCCCATTTTATAGGGAAAGCCTGTTCCAACCTATCAGAAGGGACAAATTACTTGATGGGCCAAAGTTTTAATATCGAATTGAATTCCCTTCCCGGCTTTTTTAAAGTAAGGATCTTTCCAGGGTCACACCACTGGATCAGAAGGAGTATTTTTCATAAGAGCACACTGTACTGATCATGCAACATATCCAAAATAATTTAGAGTTAACTAGGTTTTGAAGTCTACAGTTGTTATAAATGGTAACAAATAAAGCTTTCATTTTCCAATTTAGATACAGTGCTCTTATGACGGGGACTTAATTGCTGTTAAAATTATAACTGTGTCRTATCAAAAAGGGGTGAAGCTGTCCAAAAGGATAGTATCACAGGAGAAGCACAGAGCAGAATGAATGACCTGCTGCCCTTGTTATTCTGGTTAGTACATTTTGTTCTCTCTTATTAAAGGAGGCATGAAATACTTGTGAAATATTAGCATAAATGAAAACATAATTAGCATGTTTTGCACAGAAGCAGCTAAACTTTGTGGGCAGGTTTAGTAGTGATGTGGCTATTGCAGAGAAACCAATGTTCAAATTAAGACAAAGTCTATCTTATAACTGAGGTTAGATCACAACATCTTGGTTAAAGCAACATGTAGGTTCCAAAGGCAACAGTAAAAAAAAAAAAAAAACAAAAAAAAACCACACCTAATAAGGCAATATAGTGGCTAAAGATATGACTACACATTTTGTGAAAGGGTACATTAATTGCTGCAGATAGCAGCTGCATTGCAGAGCATTACAGTGCAGAACTAAAAAATATGACTACTTTAACAAAAATATGTAGATAATATTGCAATATATTTAAAAGCATGTTTAGATTTGCTTGTCAAAAGATGTCACACTTGCTTTGCTATTTAGCAGCTACTTAAAGCTGGCAAGACCAGAAAAAAAAAAAACAAGTGACTTATATGAAAATCAATCTGTATGAGGGGAAAAATATTCCTAGCTGTGTGCTCTCCCATCTGGCATAACACAAAACAACCAGATGGACCTACGTGATCTCAAGAGCAAAATATCAGAAAGTTTTTGATCTCTACCATTTACTTTCTTTTAATGTTGTGACTAACAGTACATCTGTATYAACAGCTTACATTTTACAAATATAGTTGGCACATAGTGTTTTATATTACGGTTTCTTGAATACAAATTTTGAGTACAAGATACTTCATTGTTCAGCCGATGTCATAAGAGCACTGAACAGTTCACAAGTTTCATGCTTCCTGACTTCTAATGTGTCTAATTATGAGATCTGATATATCTAATCACCAAGGGTTCGACGTGTTGCTTTAGTTGCTCGAGATGCTCTAATATGTTCTTCTTTGTGATGATCCCCAAGACAATCCTGAAACACATCATGTTATGCTAATAACTGTGTGTGAAATCAAATTAAAAAAAGTTCCAATAATGAGAAAGGTTTAGCATACAGCAAAACTAAAAGATAAAAAAGATAAAAATGCCAGAAAGCTAATGAGATTGTTAAATGAAGAGTGACTGGAAAATCAGTACCGTCCCCCAACAGTGACTCTCTGGTTTTTAACACGGAACAGAACTCAATTTTCAACAACCCCAGAAAAGTAATGTTCTCATATGAAGCACATGTCAGCGGAAGGATACTTTACCCCTTCTCCCCCAATTCATGTCATTTCAGCTTTTTAAACCACAAACACCGAGATATACTTAATTTCTCCTTTCATATAGGATTATTGTGCATAACTTAACCTCTCCTAGGAGATGGTCAAAGTGGTAACTGCACAAAACCAYAGCAGTTGAGGTTTGAAACTGCACTACGTGTGCCTCAGAACAGGCATATTCAGAGATTTCTCCTTCATGACAGTACAAATCAAGAGCAACTCATTGGAATTGATATTGATACATAAAACAGTCAGGATCTTTCTTTATGTACCAATACATGTGGCATCAGCCTAATTTTTTTTTTTTTTGACAAGCTTCCAATTTCTAATTGGATATCAATACTCAGGCATGAAGTCAATGTATAAGTGTGTATATATGTTTGAATAATGAATATGTACACTGAATTTGCAAGAAATCTGCCAAAATCTAAATTAGTCCTTGATATCTATATGGTCATATTCACCCTAAGTATTTACTATTCAACCTTGTTGTAATGGATGGTGAATGCATGAAGGACAAGTTTTTAAGCTGAAGGAGGACAACAAATACCAAAGTTAGCAAGCAGATTAGTCATCCATATTTTCTGCTTCTTTACCACAAAATAATGAAAATATACAGCAGAGTTTGATCTAATTTTTAATAGCTAAGATTTCTTTGGAATCAATGACATCAAAGTTTGAGCACTCAACCACAACAGAAACTAAGAAAAAAAGATCAGAAAGAAGAAAAGATCACTGCAATTTTATCACTTGAAACTTCTCTCCTAAAACTAGGAAAAATTCCCTTCCTGCACTGACTTCTAAATGTCAGATCGTGATGTCTTTTTTAAAAGTAGTATTTACACTTCTGAAAACCTCCAAATCCCATTCAATATATGGGTGGGGCCAAGAAAATAAGAGTAAATTTAAACACACTTGATTTTAAAACATATTTGAATGAACCAACTTGCAAATCAGTGCAATCGTAAGGTATTTACCACTTACAGCTGCCCACAACAAAATACATCTCCCACCCACATTTCAGAATTTTAGTGTTTGTTTCATGGACATTTATCCTAAATATAAGTCTGCAGAGAGTAGTTCACCTCTCAGATGCCTTAAAACACATGCTCAAGGATTGCAAGATATTGTATTAGAATCTGCGGTGGTTAGATACCAAGTATTTCACACAAGAGAAACAGAATGTCCAACAAAGGAACAGCTCCTCAGAAGGAGTTCTTGGGGAAAAAATTTAAAAATAGCTTCCAAAACTCCAGAAATGTCAATAGCTCCGTGACAATTACAGTCACTAAACTCTGAAGTGGAGGTACTGAAGGGGTCATTTTCTCTCTTCTTTTGTGGGTGACATTCAACAGCTGTTGACAACACATTTAAGAACTAGGAAGCACCAGGCCCACACTACATGCTCCACAAGASTAAATTTCTGCAGGGTAAGCTCTGTCTCTTCCAAGTGCGATTCACMCACCTAAAATTAGTGCTAAATAAGGGCTAACTTTTAAAATAACATCTTAAACTGTCTGAAATGACTGCCTGTTAGATAAGAAAACAAGGAAGGAGGGGCAGTTTGAGAGAGACCACACCACAGCATTCTCTTGGCCTACAGCTGGGGTCCTCAGTAGTAGCACCAAAGTCATAGGTTAAATCCCATCAAAGCTCTCATCCTGGATATGGAAGCTCTTGTATCTAACGAGGAGCTGTATTCCTGCTCTTCTACTCACCCATTGTGTGTTACAAGGCACTGCCTCAGGCCCAGCTTCCGGAAAATATCCACCACGATTTCCATGGGTGTGTGGTCTGTCACGGTGAAGGGGCTCATATCCAGAATGCTCCTAAGCTTCAAGGGCCGAGGGCTCTCTGCTGGAAGTGATGGGGTATGCTGGGCAAAACAGACCCTGGAACTGCCCACGATGCCCTCCTGCTTCTTCCTAGCACTTTCTTCAAGAAAAAAAGAGAGGAGAAAGAAAACAAACAATAGATGAGAACTTGTATTCTCTTGCATGACTAGGTTCAAATTGGAAGTTCAAACAACACCATCAGACTCTGCAGATGCTGACATTCTGATAGCTGCTATTCTGATGTTACTTCCATAGCCATTATTTTGTCCTGCCCATGCAGCTTTAGCTATTCCTGTTTTCACTCCAATAACTAACTTGAATTCTAAACAAAGAGAAGGAAAGACTTATGAGACAGGAAGTACATGAACAGCTGCTGAAGGAATTGCCAAGGGAAACACCAATCTCAAGTGACAGCTCCGAGTGCTGAGACTATGCCAACGAGGACAAGGAAATGGTTGGTTTACAAACCAAAACCCTCCTCATTCCTGCTCACTCTGAAGGTGTTTTCTTCTTGCTCATATGAATTTATTAACTTTGTTTGATTTCACCTTTCCTTTTCATGCCATCCCCTCTCCGTGACCGGAGTCCCTGCTGCCTGCACTACTGTTTCTCAGAACAGCTCTCAGGCCAGTCTAGACCCCAAGCACTATGCACGTGGAGTGGCTGAAATGATCTTTGCCTGTGAAAATGTTTTGTTAGGAGAATTGTTTTGCTTTTACCCCACCTATCAGTAAGTAGAGAAAAACTTAAAACAATGTAATGCCTAACAGTTCCCAAGTTTTGGGCACTTATATACATCATGTAGTGCACATGAATTAGATTGCAAGAAAATCTTATACTGAAAAAGCTAGCATTTTTTAACCATTTTTTAAAAAACATTTTTCAATACAGGGGAAATTTGTGTCTTTCTCRAGATCACAAAGTGTCTTTGTTAAAAGGATATTTGTCATATATAATTTAATGTGTTATAATAAAATCAAGTTGCTTAATATACAACATCTATCATTCATTTCATGCACAAAATTATGTTTTTTTGTAACAATTTCTTACGTTATTTTCGTTYGATTACAGTATGCTTTCCTCATATCCCACAGAAAAGAAAAAATGTCAGCATACAGAGCATTATCATGGTATCATATTAACATTTACCCTAAGAGGGACAAAACAGGACTTATGTACTGATGTGCACATGGCTGAACAGATAAATTAGAAAAATAGTAATTCATCCATCACTTCTTCATAATGCAATCTTGGTTTTTTTAACAATAAATAAAAAGTGAAATTCAGTATCAATTTAAATTGAAAAATCACTTAGACAATAATTTCAACAGAAGGCGCCAAGTTAGGAAGAATGTTAATGCAATTTCACTTGAGAAAAATATCAGAACAAACCACAAACACTATGTGCATGGCATGCAGATAAAATAACCTTCAGTAATCCTGTGTTGGAAAATGATGAGTCCTGATTTCCTCTCAAGAATCTAGTACTAGACATGCAAGAAACAAACTGGTCTAGATGATGTTCTAGCCTACTTCAGCATGACAAACCTTATTTTTATGACAGAGAAAAGAGAGAAACATTTTCTTCATGTCAGAGACTATCTTGAGCAAGGTACCTGGACCTTAAAAACATGACACAGTCCAGAACACAGTAAATTCTGCCTTACAGAATGAATTTTTAAATTACAATAGACAATCATATAAAACCGGAAGATAATTACCTATTGCAATAGTTAAATCTCTTCTTAGAGCAAAGCCCACGAGTCTCTGTGATTCTTTCGACATAATAACAGGAAAACCATTATAGCTGGTTTCATTTATCAAGTTTTCTATATCTTCAACGGTCATATTATCCTGTGTCAGAACTGCCAAAGGTGGATCACTTCTCCGAGGTCTCATGACATCAGCAGCCAGTGTTGTGTGAGTAAATTCTTCCTTTGCATCCAAGAAAGGATATCCATTCAGTCGAATATGGGCCTCATAAATGCCTTCCCGACCAAAGGCATCTCCTACCCACTTACTGGTCATGACTGCAGCCATTAGGGGCACAATGTATTCTAGCCCTCCTGTTAGTTCAAAAACAATAACGACCAGGGACACGGTCATCCTTGTCACCCCACCTGCAAGAAAAACAGCAGTCAGTAACATGCTCGTATCAGATAATACAGAATTTAGAATTTCTACCTTTCCTGTTAAGAGCTACAAAGGCAGCTTTGCCAGTTAACATTCACCTGACAAACACTGCTCTATATAACACAAACAGGTACAGACATAAGGAAACTTCAGAAGAAAGGGAGTGCTCTTGGAAAAAAAAATCTGAAGCTCAGAAAATACAGTAGTTTGACGCAGAAAAAAAAGTATGGATATATATCATATAAACTAGAAAACTGTAAGAATATTAGAGAATACAAACTACAGAATAGTAAGAAAAAAGAAAAAAAATAGTATTTTTTCTATGGCACTCCTTCCTTATATATTTAAAAATACCGAGAAACGCAAGGAAATCCAGTAAGAGGATGATCTGAAAAAAGAATGCMACTAATGCACGTAAGGCACAGGTATTGAATAGCTGCACTGCTCACAACAATCAGGAGTTTAAAGTTGATATTAACTGCAAAACCTAAAAGGAAATTTGAGCTGGCAAGAAGTTTTCTCTTCTTTGAGCAATAGGAGAAAAAAAAGAGATATTACTTTCAGTAGCATTCTGGAAGATTTTTCCACCACTAGTTTCTGATGCTGTACCTTCATTTAATAAATGCATATAAGTCTTTCTTTTAATGCATTCAGATGTACTTAAATTCAACTACTTGGAAAATAAACGAACAAAAGCCCTGCAACACAAAATCTATGTTCCACAAGTTTATTTTCTCACTCAAATGCACTCAAATGCTTCTTCCTTAAGGAAGTAGTCTACTTTACAGAGAACCTGTGCTAAAAGTTTTCTAAGTTTAATTCCTACGTCAACTATTTAATAGGTTAGGACAGGACCTTCRAAATCTCTTTCAGTGTACATGTCCAAGCTGTGTCCCTTTGAAGAAGCTGATTTTTAACACATCCTCTTGAAAATACCTCAAACAGGACCCTCAAATCATTAACCACTTCTGACAGTTTTGTTCAAATTATCAAGTCTCAGGAATAATTTCTGCAARTCGTATGGATGTGGTAGCAGATCACTTCCTTTGGATAATTTTAATATGCTACTTAAGTGCACAAGTCCTCTGCTTCATACATTTCAAGAAATCGATCATTTTGATTGATGCATTAAGTGACATCTCTCAGTAGCATTGTGAGGAAGCTAACGATACTACTAAATTCTTCTATTTCTCAGTGGCTACTCTATATTCCACATTTTATTCTTCAGATCATAAGATCATAAGGATCTTACAATCTATTGTAAAGATACCAGCATTTTCCTCTGAAGGGAGCACCCCATAAAGAGCTGCTCTGATACTGTATGTATTTTCATCCTCCTTCATTTTACTTTGTGAAGGACCAAGAAATCAGACCCTGATTTATTTTATTGCAATTTAGTTACCTAAGCATGCAGCAGCACCAACCATGGCATAAAGCCCAGGTGTAATACAGTCAGCTCCAACTTCACACCACTCCTTGAAGATGAACCAGTCGTGATGGTAATAGGCCAGCTGCTCCACTGCAATCCCCACGATCCTTCCTGCTATCGCTCCGATTGCCATGCTAGGTATGAACAGCCCAGATGGAACCTGCAACAGAAACTGCTGTCAGGCTGATAAAAATGCACACAGTGCATACTCCTAGAAATATTTTAGGATGCTTATCAGAGTAAGAGTGATGCAAATACTCTTGTCGTGTTGTCAACATGTAAAATCGGKATAAGGTTAGCACTGCCATTTTATGCAATGGCACTGATACTGCTAATCATCCTGTTTAGTTAAATTCAATTTTACGAGCATGTACAATTCTCACTACAAAAAAAATGAAGACTCTTACTTTTTATCTAAACACTTAACAAAATCATTTTATTTAAAAAAAATCATGTACAATTAGTAGAATAAGACATTTTCTTATTTATTCTTTAACAACACTGCAACAATGAAGTGTGAGCATTGTGCAATTGCAAACTACAGACTTTGCAATGGAATCAAAAAGCAAGTGTAGAACTGTATTTCAAAATCTATTAACATTAATATTATTATATTGGCAATATGTATTGTTGCAAAGAATTTTAAAAAGGCAGCACAAAGACAAACCAATATAGCAAGATTCCTGCGTTTGATAGCCAGAAGATTAATTTTCAAGGAAAAGGTTTAGGCAGTCCTCCTCGCTCCAGAACTGTAAGCTCTAAAATCTAACGATATTTCTTCCAGTGTTGCCAGAGCTAACTATTAAATRTTGTCATTTCACGAAGCAGAGAGGATGGTTCACAGAGACTGGACATGGAAAAAAGGCTCTGCCCTGTCCAGCTCTGTTCTCCTCTCCCTGCACAAGCCTGCTGGACTGACTTCAGAGGAGGAGATGTACCCTGTGGCAGGTACCTTCTTCAAAACCAGTAAAGAATCACGATTTAGCTATGACTCTGTGCGGTTTTTGATAAGGCAGCTGCACAAAGGCTGGGTTCTGTGGCAGAGCTGTAATCCCACTCCAAACTGTGCTTCATCAGCATTCAGGCACGATGAGCCCACAGCAAGGGTTAGATTACACACATACTCTCCTCCCACTTCAGTAAATCTTCCCTTCATAAAACTAAAGCTTAAAATGTAAATAGAAATATTTAAACAGCATCCTCTTCCTTGGATTCTGGTTTAGTCAAGAATAAATTTCAAGGCTTCAGATAAATGTATGTAAAAAATCTCATCCATGACAGCAGCAAGAGTCCTTGACTACTTACAAAAGACAAAAATATAATCTTGCAACTTCTCTTAAAAAAAAAAAAAAAAAAAAAAAACCACAACCACCCCTCCAAATTGCAAGTAAGAGCTACAAGAAAGGGAAGTAAAACTGAATCAAATGAAACCTAAGTCTTAATACAACAAGTACGGTCCTGGGGTGACACCTCTATGGAAAATCCTAAGACATACACAGAGTTCTTTAACACTCAGAAGGGTAAAGCCCTTATAAATGAAATTCTATAAAACAAATCAAGTGATCCTGTTCTGATTTGTGGCAAATGACCATTTAAAATATCTGTAACAGGATTATCTTACTATTAACTGACATAACACATATATTTAACTGAACAAAAAATATTCTAAAATAATGTGCGAGGAATGCAATTAGGTATTTTTCTATCAGCAACATGGAACAACACTGTTAGCTATGAAAAATTAATGCCAGGATAAATAGAAAGTCTGCTTGGTGATGATTCTGCAGCCATGTTTGTGCTAAGACAGACGTCGTAACGATCTCATTGCAAAAATGCATGAAGGGAATACACCAAGTCAGAACACAATGTACACATGAGAGTTACTATGTGTTATTTAGAAAACTGCCACTGTTGAGATAAGTTGAAAGTATCTCCTGAACTGATTTAAAGAGTGACAAGAACTAAGCCTTTTTTTTTTTTTTTTTAAAAAAAGGTCAGAGAAATTCCCAATACAATCAAATGAATACAGACCATTTTCTGGTCTGTATGATATGCAATACAGAAAACTTAAAAGCAAACAACTGTAAAGATCACCATTAGGCTCCTTATCAATTTGCCTGTAATAATCTGCATTCAGATGAGGAGATATAAAAGAGAAGAAGTTCATGAGRTACTGTATTTTTGTTATCCACGTGACAGGACTAGGGAACATGAGCAGCTATTTTGAACTCAGCTGAACTGAGCTTTTGGAAATCTTAGAAACATCCTCACTGCTCAATCGGGCCGTTTCTGCCCTCTATAAAATTTAGCACACACTTCTGTACAGTTGAATAGCAGAGCATTAGCTTAAATTTAATTAAACTTAGCATGGTTCTCCACAAGGTTTGTTTATTAATGAAAAGCCAAGACTTTTAAAACTATACTTAAAAGAAAAAGCTTAATAGCACCAACATGACAGCTGGGAGTGCTGGTTCGGAAGAGAAAAGAAGTAATTTTATATTTACAGCAGGTTATGCAGTCACCGCATTCACACTTACCTTGATACCAAAAGTGAAGACTGTCATAATTATTTTAAATATGAGTGCTAAACACAACTGCCATATAGCTGAATAGACTCCAGTGCCTGCTGGACGGTCAGGAATATCATCTACTATTTTGCTTGCGTTCATATCATTTCTGTAGTCACAGAGGGAGGAGGACTCCAACGGCCCGCAGTCTGTGAAGAGCTCTTTAATGAGCTCGCTGGTGTTCAGCCTCGTGTAGGGATTTGGAAATGCAATGACAGCCGTTATAGCTGCAACAATAATAACCTCCAGGACTGGATACTTCCCAAATTTTGTAGATTTGCGTCGGCGGCACCATGCGATGTTTGCTCGGATGAAGAATGCTCCCCAGAGCCCACCAAATACTCCCAGAAGAATAAAAGGAAGCAGTTCAAAAAGGTACCAAGGAGTGTGGTATTCCACATAAAAAAGTACTAGACGGCTATTACCAAAAGGATTGATGGACCTCAGAACAAACGCAGCTACTAAAGCAGCAAAAAATGACCTCCACAAAGTTTTCAACGGGAAATAATAACTGACCTGCAAAAGGCAATAAATTAGAATTATTAGTCACTCAGTTACAAATACTGGAAAACTATTTTCTGCATGTGTTAGAATACTGCTTTGGTCCTTGTATAGGCAGAAAAAAAGCCCACACTCTTGTATTATCACTATTATTCTGCTCACTTGCAGCTCCCAACACATAATTTGATGCTATTTTTAGAGCCTTATATAATTTAAACTTACATCATTAAACATCAACACTAAAGCAACACTGAAATCACTGCTGTTTTAAGCTTATTCTCTAAAATGTGTAGTAATTCACATGTAAAATATTCCCTAAGTATCTATGCATTTACAAGGATCAGACTGTGCACTGACTGCTCTCAATCTCTTTCTAATAGTGCTTCACCCCCTGCGGGCACTATCAACATTGAAAAATTTCTGACATAAGCAGACTTCTCAAAGCCACATTCAAAAACTCAAAACCAAAGACAACTCCACTGAAGAATTTTCCATGCGTTTTGATAGCAATGAATGAAAACTAATGTAGTAAAGCCATACTCCGTGGATAATGGACGGTATGATTGAAGTGGGAGCCATTTTTATTATTATTGTATTCAATTACATTTAGTGCCTACACTTAACTAACATCAGAAAATTATCTGACAGTTTTACAAAACAAGTTAAAGACACACAACAAAATACAAGTCCCCAAATTTTTATTTTCTAGAATACATTCCTAGAGTGAAAAGCTGATTTATCTCCTGTATATACACTACACGCAGTATTATCTATGCCTAAAATTGAGAATAATGCAAAAAAAATGACAGTTATCCAAAATACATTTAATAATATTTAGGAGTTTGCCTCTGATAGGACTCTCAATTTTGAAATGCGTGTCCAAAAATAACTTCCCTGTTGGGAAGCTTTCATAACTTAAAGGAGTCTGAGACTATTCATCTCAAAGCAGACTTTTAAAATATCTTTCCTTCAGTGCCATCTCTTGACCTACCTCCTCCAGACTGAAAAGGACTCCACCAATAGGGGCACCAAAGGCCACAGACACTCCTGCTGCTGAGGCAGCTGACAATACCTAGGAGAGAGCAATGGTATCAGTTTATTTTGCAGTAAATCTGTGATTTACATTTTAAAAGTTAAAATCTCATTTGATTTTATCAGTTCCTTTTATGTTCCTAGTGAGGRGACACAGCCTTGCTAAGAGCAAGCCATCCTGCGAGTCCAGCATAAGACATGGGCAGTGAGTGCCCATGGGCACCAGGCACCAGCTGTGATGAAGCCAAGGGCGGTGCTCAAAGCCTCCTCAGTCAAGCACCCAAAGGAAACTATGAAACTGCTGGTACCTCTTTAWCAAAAGATTGTAGTGAGGTTTTTCTCTCCAAGATGATGTGTGTGGCAGAGAAGAGCCTTAGGAAAAATACTGCTCAAGGAAGGGGGAACGGGGGGGAGGAAAGGGGGCGCTGAGACACTACATAGTTTAAGTCGAACTTAGAGGTTTAGACTCAGCAGCTTTTGACCAAAATTTAAGAGGAACTGAAACAGTAGCTAGTCCTACAGCATGACAGATAAATTAAGTTTAATATATATAAGGTTAAGGTACATGGTAAATACAATATTAGACAAATTCCAGGAATATCATTGTTGCCCACATGCCAGTGGAAGAGCAAAAAGAGACTCAATGGAAATATTACACTAGTTTGAGATGAGCAGCTAAATGACAGAAAAGTTAAGCGATTGCTCAAATATACCCAGCTTTGAAACTGGAAATTAAGTCATGCTTCCTGAGTTCTGCAATCTTCTTCCAGAAGCAAAGAAGCTGAACCTGGGAAGTACAGCACAGCTGGGATGACACCGTTTATCTTTTACTGTAGGGGGATTCTACTGARAAGTGGAACAATTCTGTGAAAAGAACATTAGATCTTGCTGTCCACTAACACTATACTTGCTTTCATTAGTGTGGCTCTACCAACAAAACCAAAAATAGAACAAAAACACTGCTGTCACAAAGACTTTCACAGGAATAATTCATTGCTAAGTTCAAAAATAGGTTCTCTCCTCACAACAGAAGACAAGAGCCAAAACTGTGCCCAAGAAGAACATAAAGAATTTAAGTTAAATCAAATAGTCTCCAAATTAGGAGAGAGGCAAATGCGCTCTGACATGTATAATTTACCTCGGAGAAAGCTACTGTTAATACATGGTTATTGAATAACTGCAGATAATCCAAGTCTAAACGCTAACTGAAAGAACAAATACTGTCTTTTAAGAAATCAGTATTTTCGCTAGTAAACATCCAGAGTCAATACATTCTATAGATGCGTTGACAAGAACTTACCTCTCTTTTTTTAGCTTCATTTGTGCTGTACTTTGGAAAGAGGTAAGAAAAAATATTCCCACAGCAACAGGCAACGTGCACCAGGGGACCCTCTTTTCCTAAACTCAAACCTGATGCTACAGCCAAAACTAATGTGATGGTTTTTATCATCAAAGTCCACTTCCCCAAGTAACCTCTGATGATGAAGCCACTCAAAATGGTTTTTATCTGGAAGAAAAAAAATCTGTTACTGAGTTCTACCTGCCTCATGAAATAGGTAATTTTAAATATTTTTGATGCATAACTTTAAAAAATCTAAAAAATAAGTTGCAATTTAAAACATTGCACTTTAAAACTTTGTTGTTGTTGTTCAGACTACTAGACTCAGTCATTTGGTTGCCATAAGCTTCTCATTTTCACATACGCTAAAAATTAAGACATTAACATACAAGAACATTATCAATTACATTTAATAAAAACTGTACCTGCAGTAGCTTTTAGACTGAATTGGTTGATTTAGTACACAAATTGTCAAGTAAAAGTCAGAAATCTCCTGAATAAAAATGAGACTCTAAAAACTGCCCTGAAGGTCACCTATAAACTATCTGCAGCAACATCTCATTGGCACCAATCCTGCACTTCTTGTTTTTGTCCTTATATTTACCATATCCACATCAAAATTAAAGTATGTTCCATGAGACTGCAAAGATGAAAGATCAGCCTTTCAAAGCACCCTTTTCCTACAGTATTACTTGGTCTAAGTGTCATGTCATTAGCCTGGAAAATCTGCCCATATATAGGAAACAACAGAGCTATCAAAGCAGAGGACAACACATGTACAAAAGCAGATGTACAGAAAATATTGGACAGCTGCATGTAGAAACTAAAGGTTAGCTAAATAATTTCGAAGGCCAAATTAGGATGAAACCTCCTCTGGGATCAAGGCCCAGAGCTACTCTGGACTTATTCTCATTTGTCCTTCAACTCCTACAACACAAACGCATGAGGAAACATTCACAGAAAAACTGGAAAGTGAGACTGAGGATTTTGTATTTATTTATTTAGATATAGTGGGTAGTATTAGACAAGCAACTGTAATTGAAAGAAGTTTTAAAGGCTATCAAATGTTTTACTTCATGTGTTGGCTGCATGCCAGGTTATGTTAATTAAAAAAACAGCCTACAGCAAAAGACCGGTTGTTCTATCAGAGGATCCTCTATTCTGCCCATGGACCACTCTCCTACAATCACAGGCCAAGTTGGGAATGGATGGGTGGTATATCATTCTTCAGAAGTTTATCCTCTAAGCTAAATATTTCCAAGAACAGTCACCCAGTCAAAAGTACATCCCCCAAATCCACAAACTCCGCATATACTCTGAAACCTCAAGTATTTTGTTTCAATTATAAATGACAATTACTTCCATCTGAATACTTATATTAATGTATTTCAAAGTCATAGGGCCTCCCCATCTGACCATTACAGCAATTGAAATTTTCACATTAATATGGAACAACTATAACGTATATATTAATTAGACCTCACCTCAGGTATCCCGGAGCCACAGGCATAGGGAGCAAACACCTTCACCAGAGAAACTGCTAAGAAAGCAAAGCTCAGAGCCCAGAATATGTACATTATGTAGTTCATTATGTATGAACCCGGACCCTGAAAACAAAACCAAAATGCCTTAAATATCAAAAAATATTTTTGACAAAATGTCAAAATAAAATTGATACATGAGCTTAATCACTACTTAAAAGTAATCTAAACGCACTCTTGTTGCAATATACATGCAAATTTACACATATATTTCCCATAAGAGTAAATTATTAACAAGTCACAACAGTGTTATGAAAAGGAACTCGCACCTCAACAAAGACTGAGTTACACTAAGCTAGCATTCTCTAATATTACATACTACAAACTAAAACAATAGGACAGGAATATTTACAGCTTTTGGATGCTAAAACGTACTGAACATGAAGTTAAATACTCTTTAAAAGTTTTGTGGTAGAAAAATAATTTATTATTAGTTATATGAAGATAATCAAAATTTCACTTTTGTTTAGCTTTTTTGTATAATTAGCAAGAGTATTTTCACAATCATTCACTACATCGTCCTTGTTACTTCTTTACACTGCCAACAACCCAAGCTCTCCGGTAGCTCAAAGGTGCACATTTATTATGGTTTAAGTAATTCCAATCAAAATATTGAAAAACAGAGCAGATTGCCCCAATTTAGCTGTCTTTTCTATGATCAATAGAGAGGTTGAACAAAACCATCAATGAATGGGTATATACTTACTTCTGCCTGACCAATTATTAGTTCTGCCCATGTTTTCCACTGTGGACATTTGTCTCTCTCCTCAAATGTGGTCTCATTTGAACCCCAACAACACTGTTCATGGTTAAACCACAAAGCACTAAGGCAAATGCCTTCCTTTAAGTCTGTCATCCAATCAGCAGCAATGTCTATTAATCCTGCCAATGCCCCTGGTATATAAAAAAAAGTATTAGTATTCTGGGAAGCAGCAATAACAAGTACAGCTAAAATGAAGAAATGTGGTGGCATTAATCTGAAATTACTGAAAACTTCAAGTATTAGGGATTTCCATGTTCATACTCAATTTGCAAGAAGGCAAGATTAGTATATTCCTGAAGAATATAGTACTGTGCATATTTCTGAGGTTAAATACATCTCTCTCCAGCACCAACTTTCAATAACTGAAATAAAGGACTTGAGAGCCAGAGAATTGTTACCTTTTTTTAATCAAGAAGACCATACACTTCCTGACAAACAAGSTGTATCATGCCTCAGAGAGATCTGAAACTGTTTTAAAAAATATTTTGACAATTCTTACCTTGTCAAAAAGTTTCACCTATTTTCATCTAGTTTCACCATAAATAAAACACTAGATAAACCTCTGATGACATGCAAAATAAACTCTTTAGCTTAATTCTGAAACATGATAGGCACATAAAGTGGAAGTTACAAGCATTAGGGATGGTAAGAACTTCTGGACTTCATAGCTTTAAAAGAATTATGCTTTGTAATTACACTTGGAAAACTTGTTGAAAGAGACATTGAAAATGAGCATTACTCAGGAGAAGCAAGACACTTTTTTCCATAACAGCAGCATATGGAAAAATATATCTAAAGTCAAGTTGCCACCATGAGCAACTGCTAATTAGTTATAATTTCCTATTTTTAAGGTATTAATCATTATTAGACTTCGCTATCTATAAACAGCCACTGAGCTTATTTGTGCAAATTAGACAATCATCAGTAATTTACTTTTCCTAACCTTGGTAGGGTCTAAGTTTGAGATCCTTGACAAATAAAGAGAAGTTTGAGATCCTTGACAAATAAAGAGAAGTTTGAGATCCTTGACAAATAAAGAGAATACTCAACTCAAACTGTACAGCAATACCTTTATCAGAACATAACTTGAAATAAGTTATGCTTATGTGAAATCACATCAAGGCTGCAGCCCCACTCAAGGTTCATCATACACATACAAGTACATCATACAGCAGAAAGGTATTGAAACTGAAAAGCCCGAGGAWTTTGATGAAAAGAATTTACTAGCTTMATGTTGTTCGGATTGTAACACACACTGTCGCTTTCAGGCAAAACATGAATCAATTTAAATACTATACTTTTCCACTGAAATTATTATAAACAATTACCAGTAATGATATACTCCCAAGAGGCATGCACAGATTATATAAACACCTGCTATATGTATTTTGCTTATGTATTAATTCAYATGTGATTTGTGAAAGTGATTACGTATTTATGAGGGTAATTATACATCTACTATGCCACTTTAACAAGCACATCCAATATCTCACTAATCTATTTTACCAGTGATTTAATTTGATTTTCTGAGATCCTTTTTTGGACAAAAGTGGGCACAAAGCTTGCGACTATTCACATTGGAACATTTTTATTACTCTGCATGCAAAGTGTCGCTGCATCATAGTGGGGCCACACATCAGGATTCCAGCTGTACAACCCATCCTAAAAGCACTTTATCTGTTGATGTTAAAGTTGAAGGAAAGACAAGTTAATACTACTTGCTAAACCTCATACATTTTCCATAGTMGTCTCTACCAAGATGGACATAAACATACAGCTAAATTTTGCTCATGTATTGCTCATGTATTTGCTCACACATGCTTTACGAGCAGGTCTGTTTACTGAAACTACAGGTGTGCTGCAGTTAATTTATGAATTATGCGACAGAGTCAGTGTTCCTAGCAGGAAAAATTATTCCATACCAGAAAAACACCAGGTACAATTACTTAACACACCCATTTTTAAACAAGAAATAAAAAATATCTTATAGACAAAAAGTAAAATTTAATGGACAAGGAAAACCAATACTTGATAAGGTTTAGCAACATACATATTTGATTAGGTAGAATTTCAGTACCTCACATAAACTCTTACTGCTTCCAGTGGGAAAAAAAGACTTCTTTCCATTCTTTTCCAATCCTCCTCCAATATCATAAATACATCTAAAGTCTATAAATCAAGGTAGTCACTCTTTTTTTTCCCCCTCATGAAATAACATGAGTAGCCTTAACAAGTKCTCATTCAGTGATGAAAAATCACAGTAACTACAAATGCAAACAAAGGGAGAGAGATCTCCATTTTTATTTACCTGAAGCCAGACCAGTCAGTGTAACTACTAGCCATCCTGACCATGCATCATACAAACTTTTTGTCATCTCCCATGCTGACTCCTTCTTCCTGCTGTTAATCTGCAAAGACAAATCATAATCCATATTTGTATGTATGCATTCTTCTGACACAATCAGGAGGAAAACAACAAATATGGGATACAAACTGGATGACGCAAGCTGTGGGAAAACATCCCCCATCTCTAAACACTGTGAAGCACTGCTTCACACTGCTTCACAGTGTTTATAGGGATAACTGCTTTACCAAGATAATTCAGCTTGATTGTTCAGACATAGACTAACCGACAGAGGATAGGGAAATATACTTAAAGAAAAACAACAAMGTAGTAATATTTTTGTATTATTATAATGTAATATTTTTCTTCTTATTCTTAAGTGATTTTTTCTATGTTGAGTCTCAAATAAAAGACCAGAAGACCATTTTTAAGCAATATCTAATATTTAATAAATAAGCAATATTTAATATTTAATCAATAAGCAATATAAAAGAGTCAGGCTGGAAACAAACCATTCAAATTCACCACCTAATTCAAATTCAAAAATTGCTATTTCAAATATACTTATGTAAATATTCATTTTTGAATGAATATTCACATTTTGACTTAACAAGACACAAAATTGGGCAACAGCCTAATACTTCTAGTCAATTGTTACCAATAATAAAATACAATTCTGATAAACATTCATTCTTATTTTAGTCTCATTTAGTTTGTGAGTGTAGCTGAAATCTATGCATAATTCGTTTTATGATTAAGCTTTCACCATAAAAATGTATTCTATTCTTGTGATATTTTCATTACATAAAAGAAGAAAAAATTTACACATCCGACAGTTGCTTCCAGGAAGCTTATATTTACCATTTCAAAAGATGACAAAAATATAATAGTTATCCAGCCAACTATACCATACTGCATTGATTGTGTAGAGGGATTCATGTGCAGTATTCTGAGGCTTGAGATTCAGTATCATTCACTTCTCGCTATTCCTTTTGGTCAGTTAAAAAGACCTTGAGAGAACCATATCTTTACATCTCTAGAAGTGATTTTTCTTTTTAATGTTCTTAATCATTCTTAATGCTCTTCTTGCATTCATAACCTTTAAAAATTTCAAACAGCATAATCCCTCCTAAAATGTTATTAAGTTTCTAACATGAATGACAGTATCTAGTAGATTACTGAGTCACATAACTAAAGCCCAGTCCAAGAAAACACCCACTGCAAAACAAAATCATAAAGGTGAACAGAGCCTGAACTTTAAGGGTTTTGTGAATGAAGCAACAGAGGAAAAAAAAAGTTCTATGATGGGAAAATAGAAAGAACTTCYCATACTTACTGAAACTATTTTTTCCTTTAATGTATAGACAGGAGTGTATCTATATAGTTGTCTACACACACACTCCTATCAGCATAAGAGAAAATATGCAAGAAAAGGTACCACAAAAATTACGGTACTGCTCTAAACACATGTACATGGGAAAACAGTCTTAAATATAACTATATTGAAAAAAAGAGGAAAGCCCTCATTTTTAGGAAAAAAATAATCACCCTGTATTATATTACTGTTTGCTTTCCAGATAATACCATCACAATACTGCAGGGAGTAATGAAATGGGTCATCTTTTTTATAGCATTTGAGTAGTTCTATCTGATGCAAGTACTAACAAATCTTAAAGGACGAACATACTTATATGCTACTAAATCAGATCTTAATCCCAATATCAATAAAAAACCCTTCAAGTATTGTTATTTATCTCAAGTACCCGTCTATGCCTTTCTCTGTCTTTGCACTTCTCTCGAACCCAGTCAATGGTATGGAAATCATCATACGTTCCTACTCCAGGAATTGGTTCRTCCAGAAGGTCCAATAAATGTGTTGAACTGTTGATACTTCCTCCATTTGTCATTGTATAATGAGTTCCTGTGGCAGAGAAAAGATAGGAAACAGATTCTGTAATAAAATAATTAACTATTCTAATGATCTTAACCTTACTGCACATAAAATTTCCATGAGTAAYTAAGACACTTCCCATAACATGCATATGTCGAAATGCATTGCTCAATCAGACCCCAACAACCCCAACACTACTTGTAGCAACTATTACTGATCTTAAGTTTGCATCTGTGCCTTTGGGCTTTGACTCCTTAGGCTGTTTCAGCATTTTTTAACTTGCTTCCTTTCTTTCAAACTATTCTCTGTTAAGGTTAATAATAATAATAATAGAAACCATGAAGCCAGCCACAACAACCAACAATCTTGTTCAAAAAATGTACCACTTGTGTGTGTACTTCAGCAGTGTTCAAGGACTCTGCAACCCTGCAACTTGCTGCACAACACAGAAAAAGCACTGTACATACAACAGCACTTAAGTTTAAATAAGTAGTATGCTTTTAAAGTGAGTATCTCAGACTTCCCTACTGTMTGGTCAGGTCCACATCACTGAGCCCTGCAGGGCACAAACTCAATTCCYTGCAGAATATTAAATCAAAAAATATTTTCCAAATGCAAGCAGGCATTCAGGCCCCAAAAGAGATTAGAGCAAGTCCAAAGCAACACTGTCAAATAATTATAGGATGATACTGCGTGCCAAGTATCAGCTATTTTCCTCTACAAATCTATTCTTAAGGAGCCATATTATTTGCTAATTTAGACATAGGATAACCTAAGAAACTTCCTGAAGCAAAAGAAGAAAGTTTATTTTAAATGTGTCATATAGGAGTATCATCTTCAGCAGATAAGAAATTAATTTAAGGCTCTCCATGTGGCACATGAGCATTTTTTGTCAGAGCTGCAGGTTAAAGGGGGTTAAATTTGTACATTACTGTGCTCCATATTTCCATTAAACATGAACTAGCATACCAGTTAAAAGAGCAGGACTGCTCTGCATGAAGACTCTTGAGAAATTTCAACGCAACACAGCAAAAGATAAGAATGATTGATGCAACCTTGATGCAAGCTGTACTTAAAATTTAGTTTATGAACTACTATAGGAAAATTTGACTGTTAAAAAAGGCTTAAGTGCATGATTAGATACTGTGTTCACATCCTGTAAGATGCCAGTTATTTTTAAATATTCGTACCCTTGATTACCAATCTCTTACATGTTTATGCCAAACCTAAAAAGTGGTATCAACGAAAGATAATCAGCTCAGCTAAAAAGCATCAGTAAGCCAAATACTTTTTTTTTTCCAGGTAGCTCATAGAACACCCTTCAGTCATGACAAGTCACATTCTATATAAGGGAAATGCCTTGTACTATTATTTCCTTACTAGCTAGCTCCTTCACAACCAGCACACACAGCAACACCCACAACACTGTTTCTTTCAGTAACCAGACTAAGGAAGAAAAGGAAGAGGAGCATGGAAAACTACTTCGCAACTGATGGAGAATGCTTTGTATTTTCAAGCTTCCAATGTCATCACTTCCGTAACATCTTGTTTTATCAGCTCCTGCAGTAGCTTGTTTATAGTCCACAAATAAAATCTTTGGAATTGCTGCCAAGATACATGCAATGGTGGCACAGGTGGCACTGCCCCCCCCCCCGCCATCTACTTCTGCTGCAGTACTTGCTGCAAAGAAAATGTTTATATTGAGGTAATACACACAAAGCTTTAAAGAATGTGACTGTTTCCTGTTTAACTAACATGATCATTAAGGCAATAGCACATGGCACATGACACCAAGCTCCATCCTTTGAAGCCAAGGCCCAAGTGGCCATCAAGCTCAGTATTCCACTGGTTCAGATAGGCCCTGAGAAGGAATTTCATTGGACTCGCATCTGACCTGTCAGGCAGGGATGTATGGATATYTGGGGAGGAGGAACAACTTTTAGCTTATTTTTTGTTCTAAATACAGCTCCTTAGTGTTGTCAGAACCATTGGGGCTGATGTCAACCCATCCAAAAGTAAGCAGATGTCAACCCATCGAAAACGGGTGTAACTAATCTCCTTGCAAGTGCCACAAACACTCAACATTTCCATGTTCACTTTTTCCGTTTAAAAGTGCCTCGGGTTCCTACATTGCCAGTATCTGCTGGATGACACGACGGATAAACACACATGGCACACCATATTGGGTGCTGGAACGGAAGCATGTGATAGGAAGGAGGCACAGGACATGAGGCTGATTCCTTTGAATACAGAGCCCTCCTGAATGCCTTATGCTGCCGAGTAGATATTATCTTACACCAGGAGGAAAGAGGTCGCAGTGATACCCTGCATTATGTGCAGCAGCAAGGCTGCCCTGGAAAGGACCATGAAGTGAAGAGCTCTCTAATATCTGATGCCCACTGTGCAAAATATGTCAGGTAGCCAGCTGACAGTAATGACAGAAGACATTTTTCAGCCAGCACTGTGATCTATATGCACTGCACTGTTCTGAAAGAGGATTTAAAGAAAAAAACCAATGCAACAACATTTCTGTAAACTTTCACTTCCCTTCCTTCTCTTGCACTTCAACACCGCAAGAAGCTCTTTCACTTAAGTTAGCGATCCTCATCACATGCAGTAAGTATATGTGTTTGTGTATATATATAGTGCTTACACTATGTCATATTTAGAAGTCAATGCACATGAAACACAGGGCTAGCYGAGCATACAGCAGCTTACTTCACTTTCTGACAGCAAGGCGCTGTCTCTCAGAATGGGACAGGACAGGACAGCACCACAGGGCTGGTCTGACGAAGCTGCCCAGAGGTAAGGTCTCACTCCTCTCTTGCTCTCGTCCTTGCCATTTGCTCTCMCTCTCTGCCCTCACTCACCCAGCCACACTGTGCCACTCACCCACACTCATGCAGCTAAGCAGACCAAGCTAACAAGCAACAAAAATCTTTGCCATCCAAGACTGCAGTTACAGAACTGAAATCAAGCTATCGAGCTGTCAGAAAACAGAATGAGTGCAAGAGCAGGAACAGACAGAAGAAAAAGAGGAAAGGCAAATGAGATCTCCCCTTCCACAGCAACAAACTGTGGGACTAGGTCCTGACATATATAAATATGCTGCTCATAAACTTTAATTATGTCCTTTTTCTGCAAGCAGTTCAGATAATTTTACACAACTGTTAATATCCAATTGGCATACAGCAATATTCATTTCGCAAAGTGCAAAATTCCCTCAGAAGTGTATGTTTAAAATATTGCAGAGTTGTATATTCAACAGCAGACAAACAATGTCACTGAAGAAATCTATGGTAGAACAAGACCAGGACAATTTCTCAAAGCTAACTTGTTTACGAACTACTAAATACTAACTCTTACAGCTACAGTCTGCTGCTGCTCACATATTCTTTTCCAGACCCCACACAACTACACAGGACCCCATTTGGCTGGTGTCTTTCTGGCTGAGAGCAAAGCAAGGTGCTTTGCTTGTGCCACTTCAAGCAGCAGGCAAGGAGGCGGGGAGGAAGAGGAGGGCACTTCTGTGAGCAGAAACCAAGCTAAGCAGTTTACATGGAAGGCTGGGATAAGCCCTCCCTGACACAACCACCCAAACCTGCTGAGTGCTAAAATCAGCAGGAGCTGGAGCCCTCCAGAGGGCAGACACTAATCCAAGGCTTTGCTGCACACGTGTCCTTGGGTATTACGTGGCAAGGGGAACGCAAGCAGGGAAGCACCCTGTACACACACCATTAGGATCCTTCGTGCCTGCAACAAGGAATGTGTGTACAAAGAAGTCATGTTAGTGCCAGAACTTATTTTTAATCCCTATTCTGACCTCTAAATAAAGAGATGATCAATGAAAAAAAGGCAAAAATAATTGCCAGTTTATTCCAGTTTATCTGTAATCACTCAAGAGCAGGCCCTTGTCTTCGCCAAGGCAGAAATACTTTATAAGTTTCAGATTTGGAAGCGAACTATCCACATCAGGGCGCATTATTCACCATTGCTGCTGATGGGCGATTTGAGGCTTTGTGATCAAGCAACACTCTCCCCTTGGTGCGCAGCTAAGAAATCAGCTCGGCTCTTTCGTCAGCCTGCCTGAACTGCAAGGCTTACAAGCTTTAACTTGAAAGGTTTGCACTGACCTCTCAGCACTACAAACACTGATAGAGAATGACACATATATATATATATATATGGACGTTTCAGTATACACACACACACATTCCACACTGAAAATCAGTTGGCTAGTCTGATACCGCGAAAAACAGGAAGACTCAGAACAAGGTTCAACACAGAACAGAGAAAACAAAAAGCTTTACAGAAAACTTTTCATCGCTATTTCTTCTAACCAAAAAATCGAGGTTCAAAAATAACCTTCAAAAAGTAGGAGCTGATGGACTAAAGGAGTGCAGAGGAATAAATGACAGTTGACAGTAGTGCTGCCGTGTGAAAGAAAAGCCTCTGAAAGGTTATGTCCTCTGCAAACACATTTGAATTTAAGGGTAAGGCAGAGAGGAGGTTGAGTACTGCTTAATCATTACTTAATCATTACAGATTCTTAAAAGAACATGCAAGACAGACTATATCATCATTTATTTGGCTATGTAATATAACCAATATGAACTTCAGCTGCCTAAATGAATTGTGCGTGGTTCCCACACTACTAAATTTACAACTTAAACAAAATGGACAATACACAGTGAAGGAGACTAGAAAAAATATATATTGCATATAATTGAAAAAAACATAAACATAATTGAATAAATAATCTCGCTTCTGACAAACAATGACTAGGCTTTACCAGAGTCAGGACAATGGAAATTAAGATAATCAGATTTCTAAGCACTGCTGCTGTGTGTACGTAAGAGGTATTTACTTACTCTGTTTTGGAGGGCAAAGACAGGATGCAACAGAAATAATAATAATCCTAACATTATTATCCCAACAAGAACATAATCTTGGTTAGGTCATTAATCTAGTATCACCTATACTATTATATCTCAAAATATTTGACAAGTTGGAGAAGTACATGCCTAATA